AAATATCAAAAATCACGAAGTTGGCAAAACCCGAGCCCCGGGCCCACTTCTCGAAAAATTACGAAATTCACATCTCCGGATTCCTCGTCTCGCCACGAGTCTATACATATCAAAATCATCAAAATCGGGGTCCATTTGACCCCTCAAATCCCTATTTTAAACTCTCTTAAATTCAAGCCCTAAACCACCATTTTTTGACCTTTGATTCCTTGATGATTCAGTCCAAATTCATGTTTATACACCATAAAAATCAAGCTCTAAGTCCAAGAGTTCATACCTGATAATAGCCCTCGAATCCCTCTTCAAAATCGCCTCAAAGCTCTCAAGGTTCGGAGTCAAAAAATGTCACTCTTTCAAAAATTCGCGAAGAAGATGTTCTCACTTAACCTGCCAGTTATTTCCGCTTCTGCAGATTAATTCCCACTTTTTCGCCTTCCGCTTATGCGGTCAATGTCCGCTCCTGCGGACCTTTCACTTAAGGCGACTTTCCGCTTCTGCGATCCAACTTCGCATCTGCGGGACCGCTTAAGCGACCCAATGTCCCGCTTCTGCGGAACCTGACCTGGGCTCCTATTTTCGCTCCTGCGAGGCCTAGCTCGCTTCTGCGAGACCGCATCTGCGATCTCCTTTCCGCAGATGCGGAAACACCTGCTGCAACCAAAAATCTGCAATTTTCCAACTTCAAATTCCTTCCGTTAGCCACCCGAAATCACCCCGAGGCCCCCGGGACCTCAACCAAAGTCACCAACACATCTTAAAACATTATTCAAACTTGTTCCAATCCTCAAAACACGTCTAACAACGCTAAAACCATTAAATCACATCGAATTCAAGCCTAAGTTTCTTCAAAACTTCCGCAATACGCATTCGATCAAAACCCGACCCAAAACATCTCCGAATGACCTGAAATTTTGCACACACATCCAAAATCACCTAACGGGGCTACTGAAACTCTCGGAATTCCATTCCTACCCTCGGATCAAAATCTCACCTACCAACCGGAATTTGCCAAAATACTAACTTCGCCAATTCAAGCCTAATTCTACACCGGACCTCCAAAACCAATTCCGATCACGCTCCTAAGTCACAAATCATCCCCCGAAGCTAACTGAATCTCCAGAAATCACATCCGAGCCCTCTAACCAACTAGTTAACTTCCGGTTGACTTTTCCAAAACAAGCTTTCCTTAGAGAGACTAAATGTCTCATCTCCTACCAAGACCAAACCAATCCAACTCGATTACCTCAAATACCGATAATGAAGCATAGAGAAACATAATATGGGAAAAACGGGATGGTAACTCACGTGACGACGGGTCGGGTCGTCACAAGAAGTTACATTATTAAAAAATAAACTCCAGTATAATACTCCGGAAATACTTGAATTGTTCATATTAATTAAGCAAATTCCAGCTTATTATACTGGGGTTCATGGACTCACACATAATTCCAGTATATTATACTTCCAGTATAATATACGGGAAGTGTCTAAAGTTTATATATAAAATTAACAAAGTCCAGTTTCTTATACTGGTGTTTGTTCTATACCATTTTTTTTTACAATTTTTATAGTAGTTTAAATAAAAGATACTTCCAGTATAATACATATGAGTTTTATGACTTTTTCATATTAATTCATAAAGCTCCAGTATACTATACTTGTGAATGAGTGTTATTATTTTGACTCACATATATTCCCAGTATAATAAGCTGGAAAATTCTTAGATTTTGACATTCATTCAAAAATCTCCAGTATAATATATTTGTGACGACCCAAAGGGTCATCACCTGTTTTCTCATTCATACCGTGCTTCTGAGGCCTCAAAAAAAACCTCATTTACGGTTGCCTCGATTTGCGTGCACAATCCGGACACGTAGCCGGAAAGCTTAAATATGAATTCTGTGTGAAAAATGCTAATTTTTTATATTAATATGAATATATTTGACTTCGGTCAACATTTTTGGTAAACGGACCCGGACCCGTGATTTGACGGTCCCGAAGGGTCCGTAGAAAAATATGGGACTCGGGCATATGCTCGGAGTCAAATTTCGAGGTCTAGAGCCCGAGAAATAAATTTTTCTGTGAAATTGTTTTTCTGAAATTACTAAGGGAATTGGAAATGAAATTTGATTAAAAGACTGTGGTATCGGGCTCGTATTTTTGTTCCGACTCCCGGTACAAGTCTTATATATGGTTTAAGCGCTTTCTGTAAAATTTGGTTGAAAACGGACGTCGTTTGACGTGTTTTGGACTTGAAATGGAAATTTGATGCCTTATGAAAATTTCAAAGAAAAACATGAGTTTTGAGGCTTGATTCGATGTATATGATGTTATTTTGGCGATTTGATCGCACGGATAAGTCCGTAGGATGTTTTTGAGGTTGTGTGCATAATTGGTTTGGAGCCCCGAGGGCTCGAGTGAGTTTTGGATAGGCGTCGGATTGCATTTTTCACTTTTGGAAAGACCTGGTATCAGTTATCTGCAGGATTCGCATTTGCGAAGCCTGGATTTGCAAATGCGAAGGTCCAGCTATCGCAAATGCGAAGGCTGGTTCGCAAATGCGAAACCAGCCCAGGCAGGCCAAGGTTCGCAAATGCGAAGCCAAACCTCGCGAATGCGATGGTCACTGGTTCGCAAATGCGAGACCAGTTTCGCAAATGCGAAGGTCCCTTGGTAGACCTGAGTTCGCAAATGCGAACAGAAATGTCGCATTTCCCAAGCCTGCAGGGTTCGCAATTGCGAACCCAACTTCGCATTTCCCATATCCGAGGCCCAGCAAATTTTATACTTAGTCGAATTTTCATCACTTTTCACCATTTTTTCAA